TGGAAATTTCCACCTAAAGCCTAACCGCCTACAAGCAGTGAGATGAAGCCGACTACCTTGACAACATGAGCAGTGCTTCATAGAGGCAGTGAAGGAGGACCTCTGCTGTTCAGCACACACTACTGCAACATTAAAGCTCACATTCTTTTCCTAAATAAACAAAATAATGACTGTAAAATGTCAAGTTGTTACGACTTAAAGGCTCAGTATGCAGTTCCGGAGAAAGATAGTTGACTGCTGAGTCTCATTTTTAGGTCGTCACATACAGTCCACCTTGGGTTGATAGTCAGACCAAACCCCCAACCTAAATCTTTCAGGTTTCCTTGCTGCCTTAAAAATACAAACCAAAGAACTCATACTGAATGGTCTGTATGAATAAAATACTGACTGCATGAAAATATGATCATTTTAAGGCATTGTGTTAAATTAACTGTTTGTGCCATACTGACAACATCAGATTGACTTCACAGCTTAAAATGTTAACTCAGTAGAAGCAGTTTTAGTTGTGCTTCATCCACAATATAACCACTCCACTCTCACCTTGACCAACCTTCTGGTTTGATGATGTATTTAGTCTCACTTCAACCTGCCTTAAATCACGTGACCAGCATGAATAAGGCCTCATTACGCTTCAAATGAAGTGTATCTGAAACCTGCATCCAAGGAGTGGTCTTACCTTTTTTCTCAAACTCAATTTGTCATTCCTTACACAGCTACTTCTGTCACTTGGCAGCTCAGAAGTGTGTGCCATGACCCCTATTTAGACGATTCATTGGTGTTAGACTACATAGACATGGACAAGTCAAGGAATACAGGAAGGCAACCAGGAGGAGGCTATGGCAACAGGCTTTGCATCCTACCTTCGAGTGTGGTCATTTGGATTACAGGATTAAGTATACACATTTTTACCACTTTAGAGTGCTGATATATTTGTTCACAAAGGTGATGTGTCCTTCGTTCCTTTGAAGTATTGGTTGTGTGCATCCTCAGAAATTAACTGTTTATACATCTGACCCTAGAAGTTTGACCTCTTACTACTTCCTAAAATAAATATTTTTTTGTGTTTGGTATCATTTGGCCGCCATAACACATCTGTTTAGGTGAGCCAGTTGGCAAGTTAAATAATCATGGACATCCAAAACTGTGAAATACTCAAACTTATGTATTCGTTATGAATGAATGAAAAAAAAAACCCAAACAAACCCTGAAACAAAACAAACAAGTTCTACCTTTTTTTTAGTGGAGCTATAGTGCTTTGTAAACTCAGTGCTTTCTCTCGAGCCCACCCACTGAAAGTTGACCAGTATGTTAATATGTGTCTACAAGATGAAGCCAAGCACTTACATAAGGTTAGCTGCAGACTCTGAACAAACAACAACAACTCTGTCTGTTGCTGCTCCCTGGTCAAAATCGGGTAAAAATTCAAACATAACTACTCCTCGCGTTTGTAAGGTCACTCCAGCGGTAACTTCCTGCAACAACTCAAATCTCGTGAGACGTAAGATTTCAGAGCCAGACTTTCACTCTCTGAGTGAGTGTTTTGACTTGCCACAACAAACATATCCGAATTTTTACCCGATTTTGACCAACTGGATCTGGATGAGCCATTTGAATTTGATGACCGCCCATATTTATTTGAACACGGAGTACACAGACGTACACAGACATAGAACTCATAGAAACTGAAGAGCAGACGAGGAGAGAGAGGGAGCAGCAACAGACAGAGGAACATGTCCGAATCCAGCTAAAGGTAAACACAGACATTCATTTCTCCTTTCTGTTATGTTGTCGGATAATTATACTAACAATCTGAGCCTATCTGTGTGAAAAAAATGCACTTTTAGTGGGCGTATTTTGACGTTGTTTGATGCTGTCCCAGTGCCCTATTATTTAATATAGCACATGCTCACGGGCTGCAGGCAGGTCAGCCCAAGCTTCATACTGGAGAAATGTCAAATATTGAACATCCTATCACTCATTTAGACAAAAGTAGATTGTAAAATAGGGCCCAGGTTGAAAAAAACATTAGTTCCCCTTTAAAAGGTTTTAGTTGTTATAATATATCCTTAACTGTAGAAAATACCAAGACTTAGTGAAAGACATGAGTTCAGTTATACTGTATTTTGACTCTCTGCCATCACATGGTCTCCATACAAATGCATTACCACATATTTACCAGCAGATGTCACTATTTTAATTGTATTAAATGCTTTAAAAGACTTAGACTAAGACTTAGACTCGCTTTATTGTCATTCAACAAATACACCATCGGTGCACATATTAAACAAGATTTCGTTACTTTGGCTCATGAGTAGATGCATAAATTATGTAACATACAATAAAATAAAATATAAAACACTGGTATGACTTAAAAAAAGTTAAAAAGCATTTCTCACAATGTTTGTTGCAGCTCAAATGGATTAGTGTGGCCCACTGCTTCAGAAAAATTAAGTCATGCACATTTAAGTCCATGCAAACCTATATTTTGATGGGGGTTTATTTAAAATAGGCCTACAGCTCACGTTGGGATTCTTCCTGTGGGCGCTTCGTTTTTCCATCTGACCCCAAAGGGTTATCATTTCCTTCATTTTTTTTCTCTTTTGCATTTGGCATCTTTAGGCCGCCATAACTCAACTACCTAAGTGAGCTACTTGGGAAGCTTAATACTCCAAAATCGGATATCGTACATTCAATATTGTGAAATCCACAACTTGTATGTATTTGTATTTTGAACAAAATAAAAAAAACAACAACACATGCCCAAGAAGGAGTAGGAAGAAGTGTACACCTATTTAATTCTACCCCTTTCTCAGTATTCATGTCTAATTTGAAAAGGAAATTGTCAACAACTGTCCCAAACTTATTTACAACCATTAATATAGATAAATAAACAACAGTCTTAGATATTAAATGGGCTATACAAACCCCATCTCAACCGAGCCCAGATAGATAAATAAACCAACCCATCAGCATCGTCCCTCTTTGTCTGCATACCTCCTAAATATACTGTGTCCGTACATCTTTTTAAAGTGCTCTATAGTTGTGCTTCCCTTTAACGCCTCATCTAACCCATTCCACAAACCCACCCCACACACTGAAATACACATACTTTTCAAGGATGTACGAACATTTTTTAGATTCTATCCCCCCTCCCTGTCACATAACATGTTTTGAATATTGCCTGGAAGCAGATTATTTCTTGCTTTGTACATTATAAAGCAAAACCAAACATGGGTGTTGTAACATTTATTTTTTTACCTTTGCCAACTGGATGCCTTCTTTGAGCCCACCCACTGAAAGTTGACCAGTGAGATTTATTTCACCACTACAGTATCTCTTAAGGCACTTTAAAAACAAAAGAACATGCCCACTTTTTTCCCCCCACAATCTTCCTCTTATCAATATACCCCTGACCCTAGACTCACAACTCAGTCTTTAGACGCTTTGCTTAACTAAAGACTGATGACTTTCTCCCTGGTTTTGTGTTTAGATGGGCGGATACAATTTCAGAGTTTAAAAAACTCCCTACATCACAGAACCAATAGTAAATCTGCAGGGCGGTCCTTTGGTGGCTCGCTGAACTCTTGTGCTTGTAAACATAGTCCGACTAGAAACACGTGTAGCGGTACAAAATGGCTCAGCCGTGCTCGCAGAAAACGCCGTCAAAGTTAGTGGATGTTTGTCGCATTTGCGGTGACACATTCTCGCCAACTAAAAGAAACAAACATAATCTTTTACAAGGCCATGACTCATCCATCTGGCCGGACTATAACGTTAGAGGGAATCGCCTTGTTGTTTACAAATACTTAGAAAACCAGCAGAGCTTTTAGCTATATATATAGCCTATATATCACATTTTTCACATCACTGTATCACCGTTTAGACTAATCCGATGTTTGTAAAGTCTATAAACACAATGATTGAACAAACATTACTATTTCTGTATGCACGTTTAGCTGGGCTAACCGTTAGCTGTTAGCCCTGTTAGCCCTGTTAGCAGTGTCTATAATAGGTAATAACTCATTTAACGGTCCGTGAAAAAAAAAATCTTTTCCAGCGGATATCTTAGTTACAACATGATTGAGCTAGCAAAGCAGTTTTGTGTTGCTATGTGTGGTATTTATTCAGTTTTGGGAAATCACGATGTCTAGAAAGCATCAGTGGCTGCAGCTGACAGGGACAGCTAACAGCAGCAGCAAAGCTAACATCAGGACGTCATCTGTTAAAAGCCTCCCGTTGTCGGATACGACATGACACTACTCCAGTTAGCTCAATAATGTTGTAACTTAGACATCCGCTGGAAAAAATATTTTCTTCATGGATGAACACACGTTTGATAAAACGGAGTTAAATCTCTCAGCATCCATTTTCAAGCTCTCTGTGTGTTTGTTTCCTTGCGGACGAGAAAAGGGGGAGCGCACATTTCCGAGAAGACGTGTCCTTTTCAAAAATGCAAGAGGCGTTGTTTTGTTGCGTTTTCGCGGTGTGTTAAACACACTTTAGAAAGGAGTGTCCCCAGACTATCAGAAGGCGGAGATCTCTGATTGTCTGGTGGCGAGACTACCCTGACCCTAATCATAACCAAATCTTGAATCTGTTATAGAGGCCTTATAGGGACAGACGTACCCTTTAATAGGCTATAGCCATGTTGTTTTGACTCTCAAAATCAACATACATACACATGTACACATTGCTTGTCGATTAATATAAGTTGTATTAGCTACATTTTAATTGAAATGCACTATAAGTATAAATCATTCATTTAACTGTCATAGCAAAAAAAATTATGTTGCCTAAAATAATAATAATAATAATAATAATAATAATAATAATAATATCGGGATTCAAAGACAAAACCAGATCAGTGTATACCAGCCTTATCATGAATGCATCATGAATCAGCCCTGTCCCCCTCCTCTTATCTCTCTGCTCTGTCATTTGTAACCACCCACTTGAACCGGAACCTTTTCTCGGGGTTTGCAGCCCTCCCTGTCGGTCTATCGCCCTGACAGCCAGCCACAACACCGATCCACACACACACTCACACTCACACACACACCACTGTGCCTGGAGCAGGATGCGCCCTGCGTTACGATGCCTGGGATAGCAGCGGCATGTCGGCCCGTTACATACATCGGCTTCTACCGGTGCAAGTGACACATTGATCCTCTGTGACAGCCTTCCCGTGGACGCCGACGACTGACAGGATCCATGGGCGCTGCTGCTACACGGATGCACCCAACGCGCTCTGGTGATCTATCCGGCTCGCCTCGGTGGAGTTGGTGACCCATCGTTTCACGGTCCTAATATCAGCGGGGAAGGATCGTTAACGCAGCCTCCCTACCTCTAGGGTCGGTAAAAGGAGGAAAAGATGGGGAGCACGACCTCTTGCTGCGTGTCTGCCAGCCCCAAGCTCCGCAGAAATGCCCACTCCAGGCTGGAGTCGTACCACCAGGAGTCGGAGCTGAGCAGGGAGGAGACGGGATGCAACCTGCAGCACATCAGCGACAGGGAGAACGTCGACGGTAAAACATTATCAGTGTTTAGGAGGTCAACATGACGTGACATTATGAGAAACCAAACACAGTAATAAGTTATATGGTGATTGTTTTTTGAATACCCTCCAGTGCCTACAGAAGGAATAGTATTATGGAGATTATTATAATTTTACCACAGGAAATGAAAACCAACCAACAACACAGGGCCGTAGCCATGGAGTCAACATTTGGGGGCAGTTTTGCTGGGGGCTTTGGGGTCCACCTCTAGATGCCCCAGCAAAATTTCGTATTATATTATTTATCCTAACCAAGTACAGCCATACAGTAGCTATATGAAATATGCCAGACATGAACGCCACTACCCTCTACATAAATTACTCATGCAGAGCAACATAAATAATTAACACTTTAACACTCATTCACTCACATGTTGCATTCAAGTTCCCCACTTTTTAATACAGAAAAGTGTTGAACATTTATTGTTCCCACTGACTGAAGATGGCAACGTCTCCTGATGGGGTGCAGCAACATCACTACACACGCAGAAGTGCAGCACACCTACTAGTAGTAATGATAACAGTATTTTGTTGAGTTTGTTTATGATTATGATTACATTTGCTAATGATTATTGCAGACACGGGTGCGTAGTTGCCTGTCATAACATAGCCATTTTTAAAAATGTATATATATCACATAAACTGCCTTGCAACAGTATCATAAAATACAGCCACTGTAACATAATTGAGCCACACAGAGAGGCTACTAAACACCACATAAACATTATATAGACTGATGCTGTGGCCATATGAAATAATGAAATATAACACAATCTTGGAAATTGTCCAAATTGCACCATAAAATAATGACAACAGAAAAAAAGTTAAATTAAACTCCATATTGAATATCCTGTTAAACACTATGGGAATATTAAAGAAAGCATATCCTGGTGACACTATATACTATGGGACAGAGAGTATGGTTCCAAATGGGGCCACAGTAGCCTTCAAAATAAGACTGTCATTTTTTAAATCTTGGATGATGACTCTTGACCTCCTCTGAGATCTCTATTACATCCACACCGTTCTCATATCCTGGAGAAATAGCTGCTGCCCCTGTTCACCCTCATCTCTCAATAATATTGGACGACTGGCAGAAATATATAAGTCACCAGTAGAGCCAGGCACATGGAGGAGTCATATGTGCATTTTACACTTCCGTGTGTCCTTCCAGAGCGATATGGCGCAGCAGACAACATCATGTTCATGAGGGCAGACTCCTTTGTGCTGTTCTTTGTTTTCAGCCTGTGCATGAAAGAAACTGCAACTATGGAGCACAGCCCCCTCCATTGAGACATGCTAATATGCATTACAATTGACCCATTCACACTGGAAAGTGTCTACTAAATGGGTTGCTTATTTTCAGCCTGCAGCCAACCATTACATATGAATGGATTTTCTCAGAAACTGTATAAGACCCCCTTTTTCCCGCAGAAATTGTGCAGAGTCTTTCACAGGCCAGCATGATTTGAAATATCGTTGTGCATCATACGCCATCAGAAAGTCTGCCTATATTAGGCCAACAGTTACTGGACACATACTGTATTCAGCAACTGCATCAACATATCCACTCATTGGGTCATAGGTCTGACAGCTTGAGGGTGTAGGCTGCTATTAACACAAGGTAACCTCAAATATATATGGCTCTAAGGTGTCAGATGTTATCACACCAGGGATGTAGTCTAAGTATCCATTGTTAAAGGTCTGTTAATCAGTGGATTGCCACATCCCAGTCTTAAGAGGGGCTGATGTATTAATGAAGCTGAAGTGTGGACAGACTTGTAAATACCTTTCTTAGGTAAAGAGAAACGTGAATCTTCTGATCTATTTATTCAGCTGTTGTTCCTAGAATGAAATCCCAATATTAGTGCCTGTCTTATGTGACAGCATGAGGGCAAAGCAGCGTAAGTGAGTAAAAAGCAATGCTTGCACACACTTTCTGTGGCATGAAGTAGTGTGCAGATATTGCTTTTCCTGAAATAGATTTAATAATAAAAATTAAATTTTCTTTTGGAATCCATTGTCAGCTGCACCTTTCCACATTCAAACTGAGCATATTTGGTGCAGGTATTTAGCATTTTCTGCTTGAAATGAACAAAGTCGTACAACATGTTCTCTGACCACATCTAAAAGCAAGAGTGTTTCTGTCCAGTTCATCCCAGTAGCAAATATGTGCAGGTGAATGTTGTGTGAAAAGCCTGCTGGCTGCATCTCACTGTCTACCCGATCTCTTTAAGAACTTTGTACAAATGGGAATGACGGGAACACCCTTGAACAGCCTCTCCTTGAAGGCATTCATGGTGTTGCTCTTGATATACACAAGTAAAGGGACAAAAAAATGACAAAGATAAAGCTTGAGAGAAAGGTTCACACCTACTTTCAAACCTCCAAACAGATGTCGAATCACTACAAGATTTTCATGGGTCTGGATGGCATTTTGGAGCAAAACTCTAAAGATGTGCTTTTAGTCTTTTTAATAAGAAAAAGAAGAGGTGAACATTGGCCACCATCTAGCTGTCCTTCAGTCCAGAGTACACATGAATAAAGATTCTTAGAGCTCATAGTAATTCATAGTAGTTGATGCTCTTTGCTGTAGGAAAGCCTTCCAGTCTTAACTATCTATTGCCAAACTGAATGGATCCCTCTAATTGCTCTGTCAGCATGGTGGAATACCTGCTTTTTATTGATTAGTGATGTCATTTCCTCTTGTAAATTTGAAAAGTGTATGCCACTTACACACTGAATGCCATTTGTGATTGCTATTAACTGGAGTGCTTTGCATTATGGTGGGTGTTTATATTGTTATTATGGCTCCAGTATCTCTGGCAGGGCCGGTGTTGTATCATTGGCAACATAGCATAACAAAGTGGAATTTCTTTTCATCTAATAAATGTTTTGGATCATTACTTTGATGGGATGCATATACCGTCTGAGTGTGGAGCCAGATGCTCTCCTACCAGAGTAAAAAAAGTGACATGAAGAAGATTCAAAGACAGATGATTGGCAGTCGACCAGCACTTCTTGACGGGGATAAAACCCACTCGTGCTGAGAGGCCGTCTGTCTCGGTGGTGCGGTGATTGAAACCGGAGCGTGTCTAATGCGTTGGCTCTATTATGAGTTCACAGACAGTATGATGGAGATTAGTGGGCTTCATTATGATCTGCGCCATCAGAAAAAAAAAAAAGTCTTCACCCCCCAAAGGAAAGCCCAGAGAGGCAGCTGTGAGCCTGTGTCAGAGCAGATAGGAGAAGCCACCAGGGACATGTGATTGCCAAGAATTAACGCCTCAATTTAGAGCGTGACGCATTGCTTTCAATGACATCATCTGCTTTTAATTGAATGGGCTGGCTTTTGTGTATTAAAAAGTTTGTAACACTGAAGTTGAAGTGTGCTGTGATGCAGTACAATTGGATATTGAACACATACCTGGAATGGGTCCTCTACATTTGACCTATTTAGTCATGGCCAAAGCATGGCAGGAGTAGGTCCTACATAAACACAGTTAATTTATCAATTACTAAGTTAATAAAATATCATTAATTAAAAATGCATTCCCTTTCAAAAATACCAACAACCACAACCATAAAAAATGACAATAGAGCTGAATTTGACACAATAACTTTGACAGAGTAGTACTTTTCTGCAAGTATCTCCTGATTGTAGTCAGTGCAGTAGGTTGTTTTCACTTCATTATTAAGAGTCACAAGTCCTTTTTACGCAGTGATCGCTCTATAGGGCCGCTACAAAGTCACTTCTTCATGCTGCCTTTGCATTTTTACACAGAACCAAACAGCGGCAGCATTGTTCTGCTATAGTGTGTGATTTTAGACAGCACGCCGTCATTGCGGGATCAGAAGAGGCGTGATGGGCATGACATGTAACACAACAGTGTCAGCCTAAACATTAACAATGGCATACCATGGCAATAGCAATCATTACTGTGCCTGTATGTTTGTAGACATTTTTGGCCGCTGTTCTTCTTTGAGTCAGCTGCTAACTGCTAACAGCTACTTTTGCGGTGGGTTGCACACATAACACGTCATCAAAACATCACACCCATGTCGCCCATGATCCCTTCCTGCTGGCTGTCCCATTTATACGGACATAATTTCCGCACAGTTACTACCTTCAACGCTGGCTTAAAGGCAAGACAACTCTGTCTGCCCATGCCACGATTATACCCTTTATACAGAACAGCAAGGCGGCCTAACAGCATTAAATTCCCACCTTGAAGAGGTAGTGTAAAAGAGGCTAAAAAGTTATTTTATTGAGATGAAAAGAGAGAAAAGAAAAGACACCTTATCTTGTAAGGGTCCATGTCATTGGTTCAACAGCCCATTGGTTCGAGGCGGAGCAGGCTCACGGCTTATGTGTTAGTCACTTTCTTTTTCATTTTAACCCACACCATGATCTTTTCCTGACCCTAACCAAGTGGTTTTTGTGCCTAAACCTAACCAGACCTTAACCACAGGGCATCATGATGATTTCGGAACGGACTTCGGAACAATGAGTTTAATATGGTCGGAACAATGGGATGTTGAACCAATGGGCTGTCAAAACAATGGGCAGTTCCCATCTTGTAATTACAAGGAAATATTAAGTTAAGTAAAAGATTCCATAATTATGACATCAGGATTTTGTAATTATGAGAAGAGATCTTATAATTGCAAGATTATTGCAGGATGTCATTATCAATAAATAAATTAAATCCATAGAGCATCCTGTATTGGTTTAACTGCTCCTACAGAAAGAGAGTGACTTCCAGCAGGTCAGACTGGGCTTTACGCATGAACAATCCCAGCAATTTGAGAATGCCTGTGCATTGTTGAAATACTCATTTTAATGTCATCCACATTAAGTAAATTTAAAATTTCCCAGTGTCTCATATCAAGAAGGATATAAAAGCAGATTAGCACCATCATTGCCCACTGGCTTATCATGTAGCCATAGGTTAACAACAATTGACATTA